CTCGAGTTCTTGATCCTTAGGCCTTTTTGAAATTAAACGCGAGTAAAAAACACGATGAAATTATGTTTTGAAGTGCAGAATTGGCAGCTTAAGAGGGAAGCCTGGCATCGCTTGCTTTGTTATCTACATTTACGAAGCCGTTCCAGTCATTGCATTACTAATCAAAATTTTTGATGGATACATAATAGATTGTTTCAATGTGAATGTAACTGAAATAGGACATTTCTGTCATAGCTAAAAGGATTAGTCCACAGTTTCTGATCAGAATCGACACCCCATACATCACTGCATTACGGTAATTGTAAAACTTATGACTGCACTTGTTCATCAAAAGGAAAACCATCTAGTGCAGTACTAGATTATACTTTTGAAAACACGTTCTATTTCTTGAAGCGAAACGTCAGTTTGATATCAGAATGGTTAGTAAAAAAGATTCCTTGCTGTGTCAATTTTTGAAAGATTGCGGTACTTGCGGAGTCCATATATTCAAAAATCATTATGATTGTAGATGGCATGGAAATTTGTGTCTGATCCGCATTTTACGTTGTAGTGCCACATTTCGCTTTAACACTTTTGAACCAAAACGATTCAGAGCGCATATGTCGATACATCAAAATATGCATAAGTGCTGACATGATCGTAACCGTACTCGTCTCACTTGTTTAAGAACGCTGCGAGAGCACCCTCCATTACCATTAGTGGTATGTCGTAAAGGCGAGATTCAAGCGTGTGCTTTTGAGATAGTAAAAAGTTCTCGAAGTCGCTTCGAAGAAGATTTTCTTTTACTTCTAAGATCTCTCATTTTGCTTTTTATTTGTTCAGCAACTGATCCCGCTACCCCTTTTTCGTCTAACTTTCCGGGTTATGATCAGCATTTGCATTCACTCATCATTGCTCAGCTACCCATGCATTTTTTTGAAGGGAAAAAATGATCTTTATAATCGTTAAGAAGAAAATTCAAAAACGCTTTCTGAGCGCACGCACGTAGTCTTTATATCTAAGACTAGATTTTAAGTTGGACTTCGGATCTAATTCGAGAAATAAAGACACGTGCATGCGCTCAGTCAAACCCTTCTCGAATTTTCTTGATAACTATTATACAGT